AACAAAATGTTCCAAGTACTTGGTGCTCAAAGTGCAGGGGCAGTTCAGTTCTTCCTTTATTTAGTGTCTGACAGAACGCAATTCCACCGACTCCACACACCTTTTTCTTTCTTTCTTGAACAATTCTAGAAGGTTCTGCCTGCTTCTTCTCCATCTCCATTTGCCTGTTAGACCTGATTACAGGCTGATGTTGTTGTCATCGTCGTCGTCCCCCCCCCCCCGCTCCCCAAGTTAGGAAAGGTGTGGACTGAACTATGTGTTCAGGGAAAAGCATGTGGTATGGTCTTCCTGCGAATGCCCCAGCACCACAGTGGAATATAAATGCTGAAGACAAGAATCAAAGTACAAATGTTCACTGCTAATGAGTGTAATCTGTTGATCTCCATGAAGCTGTTGAAACTTGACCTGAGCTTTTTGTAAATGGGAACATAAATAAACAAAATAATGGGATGCCCAGAGGCTCATGTGCCCCAAGCATCATGTATGGACCTCTTCCTCCACAAGGAGATCCAAACTCTCTGAGCCGTTGATTGGCAGAAAAAGCTCGACTTCTGTCTCAAGGGAAATCCTGGCCAAAGCCCCAAGCCAAACCCTCAGGTGCAGCATCATCCCAGAGAACTGTTTTTACCATCATTGTATATACTCAGGGACCATCCTGCTTTCAATTGAGTGTCATTGTTTTTTGTGATCAATTGTTATTAATGTTTTTATTGCTTTTATCCTGTTTTATATGGGCTTTGCCCCTTGTAAACCGCCCTGAGCCCGTTTCGCGGGGAGGGCAGGATAAAAATCCCAATAAATAAATAAATAAATAAATAAAAATAAACTGCTCACTATAAGAGTATATGCAAGCAACCAGTCATCAGACAAGGATGTCATGAAGCATCACTCACATGTAAGGCAAGGGAGAGTCACACGGTTGCAGAGGCAATGTCTTCCACACCTACACTGCAGTTCCAACCAGCAGCATCAAAAAAGTGAGCCAACCAGCAGCACCAAAAAAGATTTACACTCTCAGTAAATCTTTGTTTCAAACAGCCACAGGTGCTGGTCATAACTGGCAACCCAATTGTAATTCAAATGGCATGATGTTTGCCTATAAAATTGAATACCCCTCATGTTTTTTTAAAAAACCCTGCCCATAGGAAACTAGAACCTAGAGAAAGCTCTAGCCTAGAATTATCACCCATTGACATCTAGAAAACCACTATGCAAATCTAGTTGCCAGGCAATTACTCTATCAGTTGGGGGTTTATACTAAAAATTACAATAGGAAGCCAATAATTCTGAAGATAGATATATATTTGATGTGAGTCATGGAAAGGAACTGAATTTTTGCACCTGCATTCTGGCACTAGGTTAAAATGGCAATGAATCGGATTTTCCATCAAATTTGGAAACTCTATCCAAAAACTTCAAGACTGATTGCTGCAGAAATCCTATTAGACAATGAGCCCTCACCAATGGACTTCATCAATATCCTGTTGGCCACCAGAGCACTAGAACCAGAAATGTCAAGATTACTGCTGTCGAAAATCCAAAGCATTCTACAATCCCACCAACATACAACCAGGTATTGTACCACCTCTGGCACACATGCTCTTATGAAAACAAGGGGAGGTGGGAGAAAATCACTGTGGGAACTCTCTTCTCTGTCAGCTATCAAGGAAGTTTTCAGTCCCCCTTAGGTGACATGGGAAAACCCCTTTCCCATTCCTCCAGCAGTCCAACATGGATTGGGGAGGAGTGTCAGACTCCTGGACAAGTCAACAACACTCACTTTGGCAGTGATTTGTTTATTGAATTTGAACCTGTTCCAGGCCAGAACAATACCGTGTCAGAACTAAGGTTTCAGCAGGGAAGCTCAAACAAGGCCCCTCCCCAGCAACCAATCACACTTCACATCCAGCCCGCCTAGCTTCTGCGTTACTACCCACCACCACCCATCATCTACATTTGCAAGCTAGCACAGTTTGGCCTTCAAGGTCATTCCTCAGGGAATGCCTATGACAGTGCAGTTCATACACTCAGCCATTCGCTCCCCACCCTCAGGAATTTCCCTCCCCCCTGTTGGATCCCCAAGCATCGAGAATAAATCCACGTTTTCAAGAAAAGCAAAATTTATTTCAAAGCGTTGAAGACATACTCAAACACGTTCTTTGTTAGAACTGGGGATACACAGGTAGGGCGAGCATAATAAAGGAAATTCAAACAGATACATATCCAATGAATAATATTCCCGCTGGCGGGCTAATGAAACGGTTGCGCGCCCAGTCCATGGGAACCAGGCAGAACATCAGACAAAACACAGGTGCAGTTCTCATGAGATAGCAATAGGCAAGCATTACAGCATCTTCTCCCCCACACATCCACCAGTAGTTATCTTATGCATTCCAGCACAGAAGCAGGATAGTAGAAACAAACCGGGTACAACAGGGTAAAGATATGTACACAGAGGTCACAGAAAACATAATGGCAGCTTGCTGACATACTGCCCCCCTTAAAATACATCTAAAACACACCTCCCGGGTTGGGCGGGAGATCTCCCGGGCTGGGCGGGAGACCTCCCGGTTTGTCCGGGAACCTCTTGTGGAAACTACGGATCAGGTAAGGGGCCCGAATATCCCCTTCTTCCACCCATTCGCGGTGCTGGGGACCGAAATCAACCCATTCGATAAGGTACCATAGTTTACCACGTTTTACTTTACAATCAAGGATATCAGCGATCTCAAAATGTTCATCCCCTTCCAAAATGACAGGTGGAGGAGGAGTAGCTGATGGTCTCCAGGGAGACGGGCCAGGATCCTTCTTCAACAGGCTCATGTGAAAAACGGAATGCAGAGCACGTAAATTCTTAGGCAAAACAACATCAACCGCCACTTCATTTATGACTTTACGCACTTTAAATGGACCAATGAAT